TCACAACCTTGGCGTGAAAAATGGCGTACGCAAGTTTCTGGGCTCAAATTGTGCGTACGCAAGTTTTATAAAGCCGACCCCTGGACAGTCCTTTTCCTCTTCACATTCATGATTTCCAAAAAACACTTAGGAGTGTGGAGTAGTCAGAGAAGCAGGCACTGTTTCTAGGTGTTGTTGGTGTCTTTCACTTTTCCTGGTAGAGTTTTAGCTTGAACATGCAGATGTATTTGCGAAACGATGGTTTTCTGAAGTCTTCCTAAGCCCATGTGGTAATATCCATTACAGATGGGTGTGGGGTTTTAATGCAGTGCTGCCTGAGGGATTGAAGGTCACGGGCATTCAGTGATAGTTTTCAGTCTTGCTGCTTACTTGCAGAGATTTGTCCAGATTCCCTGAATCTTTTGATGATTTTATGGTCTGTAGATGATGATAATGAAATTTCCTTGCTATTATATGTTGAGGAATGTTCTTAAGCTGTTGGACTATTTGCTCACACAGCTGTTCACAAAGTGGTAATCCTTGCTTGTGAACAACTGAGCCTTTCAGGGATGCTCCCTTCATACCCAGTCATGACACTCACCTGTTTCCAATGAATCTGTTCACCTGTGGAATGATCCAAACAGGTGTTTCTTCAGCATTCCTCAACTTTCTTTGTCCTGCACTKCCCCTGTCCCAGTCTTTTTTTAGAATGTGTTGCAGTCATTACAATCAGTTTATTTCAATATTTATAAATAAAAAAAGACAATTTATGTATTCCGTACATTTGAAAATAATGCAGTGGATTACACACAGAATCAACAATTTTGCAATAATAGTCATACATGACAAGTTGTATGGATTGTCCATAATTTACACAGACTTTCCATCATTTTGCAGGTATAAGGACGTATTGAGCAATCTCATGGATTTTTTTATAGTTTTATGGATTTTCTCAAAACTCAGTTTCAAATTTACATTTCAGAGTGTGTAGGACATTAAAAAAACAATAAATAACATCAAATAGCCATCTTCCAAGCCACTCTGCCACTAGAATTAAGTTCTCCCATCCTCACTTCCTCCTGCTTTGTGCTGCAGGTGCTGGCATCTCCGCAGCCAACAGTCCTCCTGTACACCCCGTGTGTGATTAATACAGATTCTTTGCAAAAATGACAGATTTTTGTGGATTTTTATACAGGTAAACTAGGGCTGTACCAATTAATCGATTAATCGACAACTAATCGATTATTAAAATAATCGATGACGTAATCGATAATTGTTTTCTTTTTTTTTGTTCTTTACTTTGTTTTTCTCTCCAAACTGCTTTGACACATTCCACTGCCACATCTGCCTTTCTGTCCTTGACACACATGCACAGTAGTGGTAACTGRGGTAGGCCGTGGACGTCACAAGTAGGGCTGCACCGATTAGTTGAAATAATCGATGACGTCGGTTATGTAAATTTGTCAATGCAGATTTTTTATTATCAATTCGCTGTATTACATAACCACCATGTGAATGTTCATGCAATTCCATTTTGGTACCTAAAAGCATCATTGCGACCGTATTGGCATAAGAGTGGTGAGTTTTTCATGAAAATATTACAATTGCAATATTACAATTACAGAAAATATTACAATATTAAAGAACTGTTCTTGTTAATTTCATGAAAACATTTTAAATATCCAGTGCACTCACATCAGAATAACTTATAGATTTGTTGTTAGAATAATCGATTAATCGAAAAAATAATCATTAGATTAATCGATTAGAAAATAATCGTTTGGTACAGCACTAAGGTAAACGTCCAAAGGGGTTGACGTGTGTGAATGGTAATCCAGTTTCTTAATTGCAAGGCATCTCTATGGTGAGGAAAGAGACGGAGCTTGTGCTTGTGGTTCAGAGGTATTGAAGTTTCCTTTCTCATTTTTTTCAGTCCTAAAATCTCAAACATGGAGCTGAGATATGGTCATGAGTGCTGGTTTCTCTACTCTCTTCAACCGTCTCCATTGCTGGGTTCTGTTTGAGATGAAGGTGGAGCTCAGGCTCAGCTCGAGAACCGTTAAAGGGGCTGTATCATGTCAAATCAACTTTTTGAGCTTTATCTATTTTATTTATTTTATYTATGTTATCCTCTCATCAAAAACATGCTCAGAGTCTTACTTTGACTCATTCATGCATGTTTGAGAAATCCTGTAGTGTTCATGAGACAGCCAGGCAGGGGAGCAAAAACAACCGGTTGGGTCTAGAACCTCCTTTTGAGATCATCTCCTCCTCTGGGCTGTGTCTCCAGGCTGAGCTTCCTCATCACACAGCACACACACCCAGCCCCCACACCCCACCTGTGAGTCCTGTAGAGAGAAGTGGTTGTGATGACGCGCTGAAATGGGTGAGACAGAAGCAGAAGGAGGTTCTTAAAGAGACAGAGGCCAATTTCAAGGTGTTTAGAAACAGATATGATGAGAAGTCAAGTTTATTTTCTATTTAAACATATAAACAACATTTTAGTAACAACTAAATGTGACATAGTTACTTTATTATGGTATAGAATAKAAATATATGCTTGAGAAACACATCTAGGTGTGGGTGAGAACATGAATGATTGTTTATCACATTTGTCTCTATTTTGAGCTTTTCTACACTGAAGGTTATGTTTAAATAATTTTAGAATTGTCATTTATATCATGTCCTGACATGTACAACCATGGAAGTTACTTTTCTCTGTGACCTGTTTGGAAAATGCAGTGTGTCTTAAGGCCCTGTCACACTATGACATTTTAACAACTTATGGCAACTTATGGAACTTTTAAAGATCTCTACGTTGAAGATGGAACTAAAAAAAATCATACTGTAATGCTAACAAATTGATCAAAGATATAAGTTTTATTAGTAATTTAGACTCTCTCTCTCTCTCTCTCACTCTCCCTCTCTTTCATAAGTTGTCTAAAACACTATAGTGTGCCAGGGCCTTTAGAGGAACAATTACCAACTGGTTTGTTGAATGTGTGTCATAAACTGCAGGTGCAGCAGGCTTTGAACAACATCATGAGGGAGCACACGGTGCTGGTGATTGCCCACCGGCTCAGCACCGTGGAGAGGGCCGACAACATCATGGTGATCGACAGGGGCCATGTGGTTGAACAGGGGTCCCACAGTCAGCTGATGACRAGCGGCGGGCTTTACTGCAAGCTGGTGCAGAGGCAGGTCCTGGGCATCGAGACTGGAGAGGAAGTCCTCAATTCGTCAGAAAACGTCCGGTGGAAGTCTAAGAAAGGACGCCAGCAAAGAAAAGAAAGTAACTGCAGCAGCGGCAGCGAGTCGGAGCTCAGTATGCGCTACTGAGGATGAACTGTGMCGAGGAGGAGGAAAGTTAATCAGGGTTATTTATGTTAAGTAACATAAGAAAATGAAAAGAACGGAGACAGTTAACACTCCACTGAACTGCAGAATCTTTTAATTGCTGTGTTTACCTATAAGSTGATTATTATGCAATAATACAGAGTTGAATGTATCGGCATACCTTAAAAAGGTAAGGTTTACCAGTAGAGCAAAAACATGGCTGTGACCACTAGATGTTGTGTCAGCTTTAAAAACAGACAAAATGCTGCTATTTATGCACTGTGTATGACAAACAYAGCTGCATCTGTTGTTTGTTGTTCTAAATACTTCTTAAGATAGTTTTTTTGTTTTTAAACTTTACACACTGGCAGAGGTGGCAATTGTTGGTGTTTTATTTTGCATCTGTTTTGAGTGTGGAATAATACTGTATAAAGACAGCTGCTGATGTCTGCAAAATGTGTTTATTTTTCACCTTCTGAAAAAATAAATTAAATCCAGGTATCTGTAGCTGTCAGTAATGTTGTAACAGGGTTTCTTTACAGTGGAGTGGGCAGCAAAGGTATTWACCTATTTTTATTTTATTTATTTGTATATTGTTGTCTCAACCTGAGTTTATAATTGGATTATCAGTAAAGAACCTAAACAAAATACTTCACAACAAATGGAGAGGAAACTATTAAAATATTTCWGAAGATGTAAAACTGAAAAGTGCTGTGTGCATATGTATTGACACCCAGGGCCGGATTAACACTTCCCTGTACTACCCTGGGCAACAATATTCAAGGGCCCCATCATCACGACCCCAGGATTACCAGTCTGGCAACATACAGAGTAAATTATTGCAATGTATAGTAAGTATACTCAATACTTCAAATTCAAAGCATATTTTGATGTACAAATGCTCATAGAACTACAAATACACTACTATGCCCTGTTGTCAAGGACACTCCTTCATGTGATGCTATAAAAACAAAACACATCAGTATAATCTGGTAAACATGACCGACTACATTGAAATCGAGGGAAGTGTCCTACAATTTCACAAAAGTAACACTTGACATTACACAACCCTATCAGTCACCTGACCTGCCTCATGCGGACTGACCAATGA